CTACAAAAGAGTGAGAGCAACAGGGCCTAGATCCAGAGGATCAGGCCAAAAACATCAAAGAAGAGTCTCTGAAGTGCTGGGAAAGGAAAAATAAAAAAGCAGTCTGCAGGACTGGGGAACCACCAGAGTCCAAGGAACAATTATAGAGATTGAAACAGCGAACAAACCAATTTACAGAAATCAGGGAACAATGACTGGTCCTAATAGAGGGTCATCAGAAACTGTGGGGAGTAATCACAGGGATCAAATATAGTATATTAATGACTAGTGGGAATTCAACAATCATGGGAGCTAATACAGCACCAGCAGATATGGTTATGGGGACTCATGGGAGTCAAAGACACTGTACTGGCGACCAATAGAAGATCATCAGAAACCATAAAGGGCTCTAATGCAAGGTAGGCTCTAATGAGTCCCAGGCATTATGCTGAGGCTCATGAGGTCAATACATTGTATTAGAGGATGAGTAACCTGCATCCACAGGGATGGGGGTAGCGAATGGGCTGATGCTGGGGTGGAGACAAAAATCACTTTAGTGGTGGCTAATGGCTAATCAGCAGGGTAATAAAGTACTAATATGGGATCAGCAGACACTAGTCAGATTTTTTATGAAGATCAAAGACACTCTACTCGTGGCCAAGATTAGAAGACACAGTGGTGACACTAATTAATATAGGATCAGTAGCAGATACTGTGATTGAAAAACGTGAGGCAAAGGCTCTAAACTAGTAGCTGGTAGTCAGTAGTCTCAGTGTTGAGGCCAGTATAGAGTTAGCAAACATGGTGATGGGCTCTAATGTATGGTCAGCATGCACTGTACTGGGACATCATTGCATTCAGACACTGTATTAGTGGCTAATGGGGGATCAACAGGCACAGTGATGATGGTTAATGCAAGGTCAGCAACACTGTGATTGGGACTTATGAAGGTCAAAGACATTGTACTCATTGCTAATGGATGGTCAGCAAGATGAGACCACTGTGGAATCAGCAGATACTGTGCCAGAAGCTCATGGAGGTTAGTCTCTGATCTTGTGGCTAATTGGGGATCAGCAAATACATTGTTGGAACCTCATGCATATTGAAGAAACAGTACTGCTGCCTAATGGAGGATCAACAGACACTGGGATCGGAGCTAACGTGGGGTCAGCAAACTCTACTCAGGCCTCAAGGGGTCAAAGACACAGTACTCGTGGTTAAAGGCGAGGGAGAGGGACTCAGCAGCAGACACAGGGATTCAGCTACTGTAAGGACAAAAAACATGGTAATGGGTCCTCAAGGAAGTCATACTCTGTGTGGGTGTCTGACAAGTCAGAAGACATTAACGTATGGTCAGCAGATGCACTAATAGGCTATAATGTAAGGTCGGATGACATAGTGATGGAGGCTATTTAGGGGTCCTCAGGTAAAAAACTTGGAACTTGGTAAATGGGGGATCAGAAGATAGAGTGACAAGGTCATGTGAGTTCTGCAGACATTGTGCTGGGGCTCAAGAGATCAAAGTCACCATATTGGTGGCTAACTGGGGAACAGCAGATAAATATTGGTGCAACGGTGCTGTGTTGTGGGTTCATGGGGGTCAGAGACACTGTACTCATGGCTAATAAAAAATCAGCAGACATAGTGAGGGGATCTAATGTAGGATGAGCAGATGCTGCGATTAGAACTCATTGGATTAAATATACTGTACAGTGGCCAGTGGGGAATGAACAAAGTGGTGAGAGCCAACATGGGGTCAACAGCCACTGCATTAGGTATAAATGAAGGTGCTGACACATCGCTGGGAGCTAATGGGAGGTCAGCAGTCACCATGTTGAGTCTAAAAGAGGGCAAAAAGACATGATACTGAGCTAATAGATCATCAGTCACTAAGCTGGAGGCTAAAGGAGTGAAAAGACACTATGCTGTGTGCAAATGGAGGTCAGTAAAAATTGTAATGGCAGCTAAAAGGGGCGGCGAGACATGATGCTATGAGCTAAAGGGGGTCAGCAGACTCTGCTGGAATAAAAAGTGTGGGAAGACAAGCTATTGTGAGCTAATGGAAGGTCAGCAGACACTGTGCTCTTAACTAAAGGTGGTGATAAGAACTGCTATAAGCTAATGGAGTGGGTGTTAGTAGACACTGTGCAGACATGTGATGGGGGTAAGAACTACATCATGGTAGCTAATGCTAATGAAGGATTAGGAGAGACTGTGCTCAGGCTATTGGGAGCCAAATACACACAGTAGTATTGGCCAGTAGGGATCACCACATAGGTGATGGTAGCTAATGGAAGGCCAGCACAACCCATCATGGGCCCTTAGTAAAGGTCATTTTCATGGAGCAAAACCATTTCTAAAGCCTTGGGAGGACCAAGTCTCCCATTGCCAGTGTCTTTCATCTGATCTAGTGGTCAAGATTCTTGGTTTTCTCCCAAGCAGCCCACATTTGACTCCTGATATGGGAACAAGGAATTCTTTATTGTTGTTTTAAAATTTTAATTGAGATATAATTTACGTACAATAAAATGCACAAATCTTAAGTTTATTCATTTGATGACCTTGTGTATCCCCATTAACACCCACTCCAGTCAAGATACAGAATAGTTTCATCACCCTGGGAAGCTCCCTCCTACCTCATAGGAGTTAATTCCTACCCCAGAGGCAATCACTGATCTACTTTCTGTCACTATAGATTACTTTTATTTATGTTTGACATTTTCCATAATAATAATAATTTTAAAACATCAAATTTAATTTTTTTAATGGATGAGATGAAGATTGGAAGAACTGATGAGATATCATCTTGATAAACTTAATAATTAGTAAATGAGGATGAGGGCATGCTATATACAAAGTGAAGAAAGTGTAATATGTATATTCAAGTGTATGCTGTATTGGGGGGCATCTGGTGATTAATTCAAATATCCTGGGTTGTCATAATCATTATGGAACACTCAGGGAAAAAAGCAAAAAAAAGTAATTTAGCATCAATTTACTATGGCACAGTGCTACCAAGTATTAAAGGTAAAGGATTCTCTTTTGCTTATCAAAAAAGTGCAAGAGAAAATATTCACAAGGTTGAGAGGTTTATCATTAATAGACCTCCACTAAAGAAAACTCTAAAGGATATTTTTCAGGCAAAGAAGAAAATGATCCTGGAGGAAATGCAGAAAAGAATGAAGAGCAATCAAAGTGGTAAATATGTTGGTAAAATAAAATGAATATATAAAACAAAAATGTTTTCTGGGGAGACATACACACACATGTATACACACACACTTATATACATATATATTGATACATATATTACATATAAATATATATATACCCCATAATACATAATATTTTTAATATATATGTATATACATGTATATGAGCAAATTTTCTATTAAAAGATTAACTTTCAAAGACAATTTCTTAGAGAAAACCATACAATACTATTTAAAATTTAAAAAGGTGAGTTAAATAAAAAGACAAACCATATTCATGGATGGGAGGGCTTAAGCCATTTTACACCTTTCAGATCAGCAACAATTTTAAAAAAACAGATAAGTCCTGGTGAATATGTGTGAAAATGTAAACTTTTTCTCAAACTGCTCATGAGAGTGTAAATTAGTGCAATTTTTTTAACTTTAAAATTTAGTCAAGTTGAAAAACTTCTATATCAATCAGAACCCAGTTAGGAGACAGAAACCATACTGATTATTTTAACAGAGAGAACTAATAATGAATTTTTAACTAGTGATGAAGTTATTAACCACGTAACTTAAAAGACAAAAAGAGAACATTAAAATTATCATGGAGGTAGCAACTGCAGAAAGCAGCTGGCCTAGGGTAACAAGGGAAGAAGTTGGAATTATTAAAAATAGAAGGTTGGAAGCAGGGTCTCATGTGACTGGGATTCATACCTCTAAGGAGGTGGCACCAGCCAGATGCTGCTAGGTCTCTGAGGGGGTGGGGTACCCTAAAGCTGTTAGTGCTGGAAAAGTGAAAACTGGATTAAACTGCTGCTACCATGAGGAACTGATGCTGCCTAAGTGAAGAAGCAATGCTGGGCTGACAGATGAACAGGGAGCCAACAAGAAGGAAAAAAGGAGCAAGTCCCTTCTTCCTTCTGCAGGCTCAATATTTATATTTAGTATCTCTTACTGGTAGGACCCAACAGGGAGTAGCAGCTGGCAAGACAGAAATGTGTTCTGTAGAGTCATGGCCCCAGCATCACAAAGCTGAGTATAGAAGGGTAGGTTTGGAGCTGAAGCACAAGAGATTAATAACTGGCATACTGTCTACACCCTGGACCCATCATTTCCACTTCTAGATTTAAACACTAAACACAAAAATGATACAAATGTCTTTCACTAGGGGAATGGAGAGATAAATAAATATATTTATCAACATGGATAGATCTTGGAAATGTAACACTTTGTGAAAAAAAGCAAGTTGCATAAGTTTAAAAATAGTGTGATACCACTGATGTAAAGTATTTAAAAGAAATACAGCATTATATATTGTAGACTTCATATTACAAAGAAAAAATTTAGGGTAGATTAAAATTCTAAATGTTGAAAGTGAAACCTTCACTTTAGAGGAAAGTATAGGAGAATATTATCACCTTGAAACCAATAATATGAAAACATAAAACCTCAGCAGAAGAAAAGAGTTAAAAAAATTAAATAAACAGTCACAGTCTGAGAGGAGATATTTGCAACACACATGACTGAAAAAGGATTTTTATATTTTCACATATTAAAAAAACAAGAAAAACAACATTTAAACCAAGAAGTAAAAGATAAACAGCCCATTAGAAAACAATGAGCAAAGAATATGAACAGTCATTGCACAGACGAAATAAAACAAATGGCCAGTCAACAGGTAAGCCAATGTTCAACCTCACCACTAATTAGGGAAATCCAAATGAAATGAAAACAACAATGAGCCACTCCCTAAGGCGATCAGGACAATTTTCACACCAACGTAAGAGCCAAATTGTTAAAAGTGCACTCTGTGTACACCAGTAATCAGATGGCCCAAAGGGCTTGGTCAAATGGTGAGGGGAATCTTCTTAGAGAAGCTTTCTCCATAGTACAAGGCAAGGGCTGGCCTAAGTGAGTTCTCTGATGTTCTCTGAGGTGTGCTTTCTGGCAGAAGGCTTTCCCACATCCTTGACATTCAAAGGGTCTCTCTCCTGTGTCAATGAGGCATACTTGCACATAGAAGGCATTTCTGCATTCACTTCATTCATAAAGTTTCTCTCCTACGTGAGTTCTCCGATGTTGACACAGGGATTTCTTCATACTGAAGATTTTTCCACATTCACTACATTCATAGGGTTTCTCTCCTGAATGCATTCTCTGATGTTCAATGAGGCGTGCTTTGACATAGAAGGCATTACCGCATTTATTACATTCATAAGGTTTCTCTCCTGTGTGAATTCGCTGATGTATTCCAAGAGATGAGTGCACCCTGAAAGATTTCCCACATTCGTTACACTGATAGGGTTTTTCACCTGTATGAGTTCTCTGGTGATTATTGAGAGTCATCTTCATTCTGAAGAATTTCCCACATTCACCACATTTATACGGTTTCTCGCCTGTGTGAATTCTTTGATGTTGGTTTAGGGATTTTTTTGCACGAAAGTTTTTCCCACAATCACCACATTCATACGGTTTCTCCCCTGTGTGAGTTCTCTGGTGTTGAGTAAGGGATATCTTAACACGAAATGTTTTCCCACATTCGCCACATTCATAGGGTTTCTCCCCTGTGTGAGTTCTCTGATGAATCATGAGGGTTGCCTTCTCAGAAAAGGTTTTCCCACACTCAGTGCATTCATAGGGTCTCTCTCCTGTGTGTGTTCTCTGATGTAGAATGAGTTGTGACTTCCTGCCAAAAGATTTTCCACATTCATTACATTCAAAGGGCTTCTCCCCTGTGTGAGTTTTCTGATGAGCAATGAGGTATGATCTTGCACTAAAGGTTTTTGCACATTCTCCACATTTATAGGGTCTCTCGCCTGTGTGTATTCTCAGATGTTCAATAAGATTTGATTTCCTGCAGTAAGTTTTCCCACATTCATGACATTCAAAGTTTTTCTCTCCTGTGTGTGTTCTTTTATGTCCAACAAAGGCTGTTCTCTTGTAGAAGGCTTTCCCATATTCAACAGTTTGATCCAAAGTTTGAATCTTCTGATGCTGAAGGTCATTATCATGACTGAGGGCATTACCCCCAACAGAATTGTTGGCACACAGCAGTGACAGAGAGCCTTTAAAAACAAATCAGATGATATTTCTCACTCAAAACCAACATAGGCTTTCCCTTGTCACAGTGTAAAATTAAAATGCTTAACAAAGCCTATAAAAATTCTACATAACTTAGCCCCTGGCTAACTCTCTGATATCACCTCTTAACACTCTCACCACCCACCATTAAGCCACACCAGCATCTTTGCTGTTCCTATGATATATTGCTCAGACTAGGCTTGGCACTTACTGTTCTCTCTGCTCAGAATACTAAAATTCCACATGGCTCTGTCTCTCTCACTTCACTGATGTTGGTGCACTAATGTTAACTTCCCCAAAGAGTCTTCTCTGACCACATTCCCCAAAAGCACAAACTCCATCACTGTCTGTTCTTCTTATCTTGAATTGATTTTCTTTTCACCACTAAACACCATGTATTTGTTTGTTTCTGGTCTCTTTCCCTCATTAGACTGCAAGCTCCAGGAGAACAGAGATATTACTTTATTCACTACCGGATCCCCACACCTAGAATGTGACCAGCATATAGTTGACCTCATTTAAGATTTAGTAGATGACTAAATGAATGTATGAATGATTGCTTGACAACAGAAGGCATCCAAGGCAATGGAGGGAAGGAAGGCAATTGAGAATACTAAAGAGAGACAGACTAGCTAAGAATAAATGTCTAAGCTGAGGCAGGCAGGGAAAGATAAGAGTGGTAAATGACTACAAAAATTGAGATAAAATAGGAGAGAGCACTTAAGTGTGAGCATGATATTGGGATGTAGGATTTAGGTATCTAAAGCATATAGACCTTTGTCCTCTGGTCATTTTCAAAGAGCAAGGGCCTCTGAAAGAGATTCCTGAAAAACACTGCCCAAACTTAACCTCTGACCTGAATTCCTGAGCTCTTATTTCCCCTATTTTCCATATGTCTAGTTCTTGCTCACTCACCTGGGTAACCATGGCCTGAGAATTCCTCCTCTAATATCCACAGTTCTTCCCCTCGCTCCAACTTGAAGATCATGTCTGGTTTGGCCACGCAGAGGCCTGTTAATGGGAAATGGCACAGGACGTGGGCCAAGTTGTCTGAGCTTTAGGGCCTCTGATGGAGGAGAAAAGTGCATCTTCATGAGCTGCACAAGGAAGGGCGCCCATTGAAACCTTTCATTGGGGAAGTGAGAACACACACACTCTTCCTGGTGCCCCAAACTGATAAATCATCTGTGACCCCTTGAATCTAGAACTAAAGTATCAGTGAACTCTGCAAAGGCTGCCCAGGTTACAGCAACCAAGAAAGGAAACACATGCTACCAGGAGTTACATGGACAATAATCCTCACCCACAGACGCCAGGTTGCTGTAGTTCTCCAGCATCACATCCTTGTGCATGGTCCTCTGGGCAGGGTCCAGTCTGTACCACTCCTGTCGGGTAAAATTCACAGCCACATCTTCAAATGACACAGATCCCTGTAACAACAATCTGCAATGATCAGAATGGGACACATGGAAAAGATGTGTGGGAACTAATTCTTTCAATAGAGCACTTTTGACAGTTGACTAGAAAAAGCTACACTGGTGTCAACTGAAAAAAAAAAAGCACAATGTGAGAGTTGTGAGTTAAGTTTTATTTAGGGCAAAATGAGGACTATAGCTCAGGAGACAGCCTCTCAGATAGCTCTGAGGAACTGCTCTGAAGAGGCAAGGGGGGAGGTCAGTATATATGTGATTTTGGTGAAGGGGGTACATGCAATTAAGCACACATCTTGGTAGAAGGTTGCCGCTAGTCAGAAGGAGCAGATGTCTCCGTTAATGGTTTTAGTGCTTTGCTAGATATGAGAAGATGCAAGAAATTGAGTTCAGAAAATTTTCTCCTGAAAATATCTAACTATCTGAAGGCCTGATCTGCCAGTTTTTCCCAGAGCACAGAGTACCTCATTCCTGATCTCCACCCTGAACTCCTTTCAGGGTATGTTGAAGGTCAGTGCCTGCAGTGGCTAGTGACTTCATCCTTGTAGGGGCAGATAGCAAGTGACAATTTTTAGCTGGCACTGGAAACCTGACCCTGTCTTGCTTGATACTATACTTTGGGGGAGAAAAACACAGAACAGTCCTGCTAGTGTATTAATTTTTCAATTCATGGAGAAAAGACCACTGACTACTGAGTTAACACTCTGTGCCTGGACCTGTCCCAATTGCTGGGGAAACAAAGATAGAGTGCCTGCTCTCAAGGAGCTCGTACCCCAATAAGGAGACTTGCACAGGCATGCCGTGTTTTACTGCGCTTCACTTTATTGTGCTTCACAGATACCACGTTTTTTACAAATTGAAGGTTTGTGGCAACCCTGCAATTGTCAGATGATGGTTAGCAATTTTTTTTTTTTTTCTGGTACGCGGGCCTCTCACTGTTGTGGCCTCTCCTGTTGCGGAGCACAGGCTCCGGATGTGCAGGCCCAGCGGCCATGGCTCACGGGCCCAGCTGCTCCGCGGCATGTGGGATCTTCCCAGACCGGGGCACGAACCCGTGTCCCTTGCATCGGCAGGCGGGCTCTCAACAACTGCGCCACCAGGGAAGCCCGATGGTTAGCATTTTTAAGCAACAAAGTATTTTTTAATTAACGTATGTACATTGGTTTTTTTAAACATAATGTTATGGCACACTTAATAGACTACAGTATAATGTCAATGTAACTTTTATATGCACCGGGAAACCAAAAAATTCATGTGTCTCGCTTTATTGCGATATTTTCTTTATTGCAGTGGTCTGGAACCAAACCTCCAATATTTCGGAGGTATGCCTATATGTGAACACACACCTGCAATGAGATGTTATAGGAGTTATGCTGGACATGTGTACAGGGTGCAATGGGCTTTCACAAGGGATGGAATAAGATTCCAACCTGTGTTATTGGGGAGGTAGAGCTTTGAATCCTTAAACAAGAATATAATCTCCCTCACGAATATGGGGCAGTAGTATGAGAAAAGGCAGGAAGACATGAAGCACACATGGTGAGTTAGAGAACTATAAATAGCACAGTATGACAGGAAAACAGTGCTTTGGGCTGTGATGAGATAAAGGGCTATAGAGATATTCAGGGGCAGACAGTGGAGGGATTTTCACCTTTTTTTTCCTATATATCATCAATCTCCAAAATACTTGACTCTTTATATGATCAGAATATTTTCTGACCTTCCCACAATAGAGTTAGATTTATAAGTTTTACAGAAGTATTGTCAAGTAGGAGAAAGGGAGAGAATATTACTCCCAGGATAAAGGCATGAAGAGCTGGGTTGAGGCTGGTGCCACAATATTGAGATTAGCAAAACAGGAATGACAGTGGGTTGGCAGAAGGGGAAATTGAGATAGATCTTGGACCTGAGCTGGAGTGTTTATGTCACATACTGATAGAGACGTCCAGCTGGAAGGTGCATACATGATGCTGGATCTGTGAGAGGAGGCTAGGATAGACGAAGGATTGAGAGGCAGTAGCATTTCAGCACTAGCTGAAGCCACCAGAATAAACTGGCTGGCTAAGAGAACACAGAGCTTGAGAGAGGCATCAAATACAGAGTCAGCAGGTACACCAATATGATATGAAGACTGAAAGGGGGTGGGAGGGGCTCTTGTGGGACAGAGAAAATGAGACAAAGCCTCTTTTCTTTCTCATGCAGTCCTGCCCCAAAGTAAATCCCAGTGCCAAAGATGTAACCTTGCAGCAGCAGGCTCCTCAAACTCTAAGGGAGAGGAATCCTCTTCTTTGGCCAGAGGAATAGTGGTCTGAAGAGTATGGGAAGGATCCCCATTGCCTTTCTTCTAACCTCTCACCACTTGGCCTCAAGGGCAAACGTAGTTGCAGAAAGTGAGTGCCAGGATGGAGATGAAAGCCCCAACTGTCCAGCTAGAGGACCAAGATTGGGAAGCCCTGGGAACAGGGGTGTGGGGGTGATCGCCCTAACAATATAGCTTCAAAATACATGAAGCAAAACTGAAAGAAGAAATGGGACAATCCACAAATATGGCTGCCAACTTTCATCACCTCTCTTAGTGATGAGTGAAAATCAACAAGGATACAGAAAAACTGAACACCACCAATCATCCAAGGAATTGTAGAACATTTCACTCAAAAATTGAGATTAACTGTTTCTTCAAGTATACATGGAATATTCACCAAGCTAGACCATATCCTGGATCATAAAACAAACCTCAACACAATCAAAGGGCCCACTGGGTACCAAGAAAAATTGACTTGGAACAATCAACTCTGAGATATATCCTAATTAAAACTACTAGAATTTAAAGGCAAAGAAAAATATTCCTCAGGGCCTCCAGGCAAAAGAATTAGATCGGCATCGATTTCTCAAAAACAACACAGAAAGCAAGGCAATAGTAGAACAGCACGTTCAAGAAAATTAAGGAAAGAAAGTACAAATAAAGGAAATTATATCCAGCCAAGATACCCTTCAAGTATCAAGGCCGTCAGAAAAAGTTTTGAATAGGCCAGAATATGTGTGCCCTTCCTAAGGAATTTGCTAGAGCTTCACTGTTTAATATGGTAGCCACTAACCACATGTGGCTATTTGAGTTTAAATTTTGATGAATTAAAATGGAATAAAATTAAAAATTCAGTTCCTCAGTCACACTAAAGCACATTTCCAGTGCTCAGTAGCCACATGTGGCTGGTTACAGTACTGGACAGTACTGGACAGCACAGATACAGAACATTCCCATCACTGAAGGAAGTGTTACTGGATAGCACTATACTAAACAATGAGCTTCAACCAAAAACAATGAATGGGAAAATTCTGGCAAAAGGACTGACAGTAAGCATTTCATATATTTAATGGTAGAGCTAAGACTAAAATAAGGCTGGGGTCATGGGTTGAAGGATAACGTATACACATTAAGTGTTCTGACAAAGTAGAAAAAATACAACTAAAATATGGGAGGAGAAGAGAAAGAAAGGGGGAAACTGAATAAGATCATTTACTGCTGTATAGGTAACAGATGAGAGACAAATTAGGTGGTAAAAGATTAATTTAAAAAAGGTAAATTGGGGCTTCCCTGGTGGCGCAGTGGTTGAGAGTCCACATGCTGATGTAGGGGACACGGGTTCGTGCCCCGGTCCAGGAAGATCCCACATGCCGTGGAGTGGCTAGGCACGTGAGCCATGGCCGCTGAGCCTGCACGTCCGGAGCCTGTGCTCTGCAACGGGAGAGTCCACAACAGTGAGAGGCCCACTTACCGAAAAAAAAAAAAAAAGGTAAATTGGTAAAGCCATTATGGAAAACAGTGTGAAGATTACTCAAGTAATTAAAACTAGAACTACTGTATGATCCTGCGGTCCTGCTTCTGGGTATATGTCCAAAGGAAATGAAAATAGGTATCTGCACTCCCATGTTCATTGCAACATTATTTGCAATAGCCAATATATGGAAATAACCTAAGTGTCCATCAGTGGATGAATGGATAAAAAAGATCTGGTATATATATAGTGGAGTAGTATTCATCCATGAGAAAGAAGGAAATCCTGCCATTTGCAACAACATGGATGAACCTGGAGGATATTATGCTAAGTGAAATAAGTCAGACAGAAAGACAAATACTGTATGATCTCACTAATATGTGGAATCTAAAAAAAAAATTAAAAAGTCAAACTCAGAAGCAAAGAGTAAAATGGTGGTTACCAAGGGTATGGGGGAAATGAGGAGAGATGTTGGTCAAAGAGTATAAAGTTACATTTATATAGGATGAATAAAGTCTAGAGATCTAATATACAAGCATGATGACTATACTTAACACTGTATTGAACAACGGAAATATACTAAGAGAGTAAATTTCAGGTGCACTCATCACACACAAAAAATGGTAACTATGTAAGGAGATGACATGTTAATTAGCTTAACTGTAGGAATCATTTCACTATGTATATGTATATCAAATCATCATGCTGTACACCTTAAATATATACTATTTTATAAATAAATATGTAAATAAAAAGAAAGATAAAAGGGTTGACTAAGAGTACTATAAAAAGGATTAACACAAAGGTAACCACCAGCATAAAAATACAAGTCTTCCTAACTACCAGAAAAAGTTTAGAGGAAACACTCAATAGAAAAAGAAACACAGTAAATATAACAAATACACACCATAATTACATCATAAGATAAAATGAGAGAACTGAGAACATATTTGTATTATTTATATTACCAAACAGTAATACAAATAAATGTGAAAAGGCTTACTTCATCTATTAAAATAAAAAGGTTTTCACATTGCCTTGTAAAGCAGAACCCAACACAATGCTGTATACAAGAGACATGCTTAAAATGGTCTTTCAAAAAGGCTAAAGTTAAAACAATGGGCAAAGATTTACCAAATGAAAACAATATAAAAGCAGGGATTGAAATCCTGATACCAGACAGAGTAGAATTCCAAAAGGATATAAGATAAAGAGGGATACTTCGTA